ATGGTGGCACGTGCCTGTAATCCCAGCTACTCAGGAGGCTGAGGCAGGAGAATTGCCTGAACCCAGGAGGCGGAGGTTGCGGTGAGCCGAGATCGTGCCATTGCACTCCAGCCTGGGTAACAAGAGTGAAACTCTGTCTCAAAAAAAAAAAAAAAAAAAAGAAATAAGAAGAAGAACGGCCAGCTCTGGTCTCCCGTGTCCCAAGCGTCTACGCTGTGCACAATGCTCTTCCCTTCCCCAGCAGTTAGCTCCCCAGCTAATCTTTCTTCCAAGAAAGGCAAGGTGGTCATGGCTCCCACTTTACAGATGAGGAAACTGAGGCTTGGGGGGAAGTAACTGCCTGAAGTCAATGGGCGAGTTAGGGGGCAGCACCAGGACCCATGCCTAGGTCACACCCCAACTGGAGTTCTGACCATGGGGTTCAGAGTTAGCAGAGGTTACGGGGGACCAACCCATCCGCAGTCCTTCCTGGAGGTCAGACCCGGGACTGCTGGAATGTGTAACTTCAGGCAGGGAAGGTAGCTCTCTGCCTCACCATCTTCGTCAGTAAAATGGGGATGACACAGGTCACTGGGATCACGGGCTCAGTACAATGTGGGGCTCAGTGGCAGTTCTCAGGTTCGTGCAGTTGATCCACCATGTACATCACAGCCTGAGCAGCATAAGGAGACCCCAGCTTTAAACCATTGTTTTTTTAGACAGAGTCTCGCTCTGTTGCCCAGGTTGGAGTGCAGTGGCACGACCTCAGCTCGCTGCAACCTCTGCCTCCCGGGCTTAAGCCACTCTTTTGCCTCAGCCTCCCAAGTAGCTGGGATTACAGGCGTGTGCTACCACGCCCAGATAATTTTTTTATATTTTTAGTAGAGACGGGTTTTCGCCATGTTGGCCAGGCTGGTCTCAAACTCCTGACCTTAAACTCCTACCTCGGCCTCCAAAAGTGCTGGGGTTACAGGCATGCGCCACTGGGCCCCACTTTTTTTTTTTTGAGACGGAGTCTTGCCGTGTTGTGCTTGCTGGAGTGCAGTGGCTCTGTCTCTGCTCACTGCAACCTCTGCCTCACAGATTCAAGCGATTCTCGTGCCTCAGCCTCCCAAGTAGCTGAGACTACAGGCGCAAACCAGCACACCCAGCTAATTTTTGTGTTTTTCATAGAGAAGAAGTTTCACCATGTTGGCCAGGCTGGTCGTGAACTCCTGAGCGCAAGTGATCCACCCACCTCGGCCTCCCAAAGTGCTAGGATTACAGGCGTGAGCCACTGCGCCCGGCCTACACAAAGATTTTTTAAAAATTAGCCAGGCATGGTGGCACACACCTGTGATCTCAGCTACAGGGGGTGGGGCTGAGCCAGGAGGATCACTTGAGCTCAGGAGTTCTAGGCTGCAGCCAGCCACAGTTGTGCCGCTGCACTCCAGCCTGGGCAACAGAGCAAAACCTTGTCTCAAAGCAAAACAAAACCCACAAACAAAAACCAAATGCACATTAAATCCTCACGGTGAGTCCTGCCTGTCCTGGGTGCTGGGGATGTGCAGAGTCAGGACAGATAGAAGCCCCTGCCCTCGGGGTGCTGCTGTCTGGGAGGCTGACCCCCAATTCTCCGCAGTACATGCCTCTACTGGTGCTGGACATATTCGAGGACCTGCCTGGAGTCCCCGGGCTCTTCCTGGCATGTGCTTACAGCGGCACCCTCAGGTGAGCACCCCTGCTTGTTCAGCAAGTGTTATTTAAACCCCTGGGAGCCTCCTCATCCCTACCTGCCATCCCCCTGGGGCATGGAATGTTCTGGACCTGGCCATCATTCCCAGTTCCTGCTTGGTCTCTAGCAGACAGCTCAGGTAGGTGCTGGCAGAGAGCACACCCCCGGCACGGGGACCCCGGCTGCAGGATGTTACCTTCTTATCACTTGTGAGGGCCACACCTGACTCCTGACTCTCCTGTTTTCTTCTTCCTTCTTTCCTTCCTCCCTCAGACAAATGTTTATTGAGCATCTACTACATGGCAGGTAGTGTTTTTTGTTCGTTTGTTTGTTTTGAGACAGTTTTGCTCTTGTTGCCCAGGCTGGAGTGCATTGACATGATCTTGGCTCACCACAACCTCCACCTCCCGGGTTCAGGTGGTTTTCCTGCTTCAGCCTCCCAAGTAGCTGGGATTATAGGCATACACCACCTAATTTTGTATTTTGTATTTTTAGTAGAGACGGGGTTTCTCCATGTTGGTCAGCCTGATCTCAAACTCCTGACCTCAGGTGATCCACCCACCTCAGCCTCCCAAAGTGGTTGGATTATAGGCATGAGCCACTGCGCCTGGCCAGTTCTTTTTTTTTTTTTTTTTTTTCAGACAGAGTCTTGCTCTGTCACCCAGGCTGGAGTGCAATGGCGTGATCTCGGCTCACTGCAACCTCCACCTCCCAGGTTCAAGAAATCCTCTTGCCTCAGCCTCCCAAGTAGCTGGAATTACAGGTGCCCGCCACCATCCCCAGCTTATTTTTGTATTTTTAGTAGAGATGGGGTTTCACCATGTTGGCCAGGCTGGTCTCGAACTCGGGACCTCAGGTGATCTGCCCACCTTGGCCTACCAAAGTGCTGGGATTGCAGGCATGAGCCACCGTGCCTGGCCCAGGTTCTGTTGCTCTAAACCCTGGGGCACAGCCATGACCAAGCAGCCCCCTGTTCCTGCCCTCCCAGGCCATACACTCTTTGGGGACTTACAAATCTTTGGGGACTTCTGGTCACCCACCCTCACGGTCCCTTTTGCCAATCTCCCACCTGTGACTGCAGTCCCTCTGGAACCAGGAATCTGACTGTCCCGCCTGCCCTTGGTCACAGGTGTCCTTGCTCCAGTGGGGATGTCTCAGGTCTTCAGGGAGGGGAGGGATGGATATCTCCTTCACCTTGGCAGGACTGGGTTACCCACACCTCTGCCCTCAGGCTGGGTGGGGTCTGACAGGCCAGATGGTGTGGATGGTCTCTCCATGTGGCCTGAGGAGCCCCCGCCGCCTTCCCCACACAGCACAGCATCCACCAGCATCAATGCCATGGCTGCAGTCACTGTAGAAGATCTCATCAAACCGCGGCAGCGGAGCCTGGCACCCAGGAAACTCGTGATTATCTCCAAGGGGCTCTGTGAGTTTCAGGGGGACCCGGGTGGGAGGCCAGGGCAGTCTCTCCCCGTTGACCGTGCCACCCCCGTCTGCTGCAGCGCTCATATACGGCTCGGCCTGTCTCACCGTGGCGGCTCTGTCCTCGCTGCTTGGGGGAGGCGTCCTCCAGGTGAGGCCCCACCTGCCCCCTGCCCTGGTCTCCCTGAGAGGTGGGGCATCTTTCCCATTGAACTGAGGCTCAGAGAGGTCCCATGTGTCAGCGGCAGAACTTACTTCTTTTTTTTTTTTTTGAGATGGGGTCTCACTGTGTTGTTCCAGGCTGGAGTGCAGAGGCCGGATCATAGCTCACTGCAGCCTCCAACTCCTGGGTTCAAGCCATCCTTCCACCTCAACCTCTCAAGTAGCTGGGGTTACAGATCAGTGCCACCATGCCTGGCTTTTTTTTTCTCTCTTTTTCTTTTTTGAGACGGATTCTTGCTCTGTTACCAGGCTGGAGAGCAGTGGCCCGATCTCAGCTCACTGCAACCTCCGCCTCCTGAGTTCAAGCAATTCTCCTGTCTCAGCCGCCTAAGTAGCTCGGACTACAGGCGAGAGCCACCACACCTGGCTAATTTTTGTACTTTTAGTAGAGACGGAGTTTCACCAT